CGTTACAATGTGTGATCTTAAGTTCTATTTCCCTGATGGGTAGATGGATCTTTCCTCACTGAACTACCCCAAAGAAATGCCCTAAAAAATGCGAGTCAATGGCTATGATATATTTCCCATGTCATCCATAGAAAATAACTGGTGATCTCGGCAGTGTTGAAGGTTATGAGCTCGTTGGCAAGATAAAGGGGAATTTTCAGGGGTTAATTGATGTGGTCTAAAGCAACAATATATCATGCACCAGTTTTTGGGAATTAAAATATATTTTGTATCAATTGAATGTTTTGGGGAATCAAACTATATTTATGGGGACAAGTCAGAAGCGAAATAATGCAAAAATGTGCTCATGAGTGTTTGTAATTGTTTATATATAACTGGGTATATATAAAATTGGGAATAATCCATCCCTCATCAACTGTGATAAAAATGAACGGTGGATGTTGGATAAAAGTGTCCCATTGCCACTAGTAGTGGATGCTGGGTATGAGTATCCCATTCCACATGACGCCAGCTACTGTGTATTGTCCCTCATTATTATTGTGAAAGAGAAACTGTATTTCTCAGTTCTATAAAAATTGTATACAATACCCTAAATTTATAGGACTACAAAGTAACGTATATCATGAATAACTTGCTTAATATGTTCAAGCAAGAATAGAAAGTAAATATACATTCACACTCACCGTCAAACTCGAGTTGATTTGCAATAAACCATGGAGAGTTTGGAATAAACTGAGAGAATTGAGGCGCATTATGAGTTTTGGTGAAGAAGTCGGCAAGTTGTGCGAATTAGGGTACAAAGGGAAGAGAAATTGTGCCTGCTAGGTATTCTTGTCGGCAAGTTGCGCTAGCTATCCAATTTCACATTTCATGGTCAAGATTAATGTGACCACCTTGTATCAAAGATAAATGGACTCATTCTATATTTTTCATATTTTTTTAAGATTTTGATGCTATTAATGAAGGAAAAAGTTTCCATACTTCCCTTACTGTACAGAAGATACATACTTCCGCACCTATTTAGTTGCCAATTTAGATAAAGTGAACAATTGACAATTTGATCTAGATCTAACGTCTCAGAGAATTTTATTTAGCTTTTTTATACAAATTATATCAATGTAAAATTTAGTATGTATCATCCTCTTAATGGGGCGCTCCTAAAAATAAATTTTAAAAAAATATTTTCAATAAAATACAATGACCAAAATAGCCTTAACAATTTCAATGGTATTTTGTTATTTTATTTTATTGAGAATATTAATTTTATATTTTTTACAGGTGTAAGTGTAAGAGAGGAGTGGACACCCAAATTTTGATGTCAACATCATTTGTATAAAAAAATTAAAAATAAAATAGTTTAGCGATATGATATTGTGATTGGGATCGTCTCAGCCGTCCATTTATAATGGACAGTTGGATAGAGGGAAATATATAAGTTTTATAAAATAGAAGAAGTATAGAAGTTTGCCCATTAAAAGATTGTTTTAGACTTTAGCACGTGGCATTTATTGGTGTGACATATTACCAATTTACCTTTATTCCTCTTAAAAAAGCTCAGCATCTAGCCGATCTTAAATAGTTGAGAAAAGGTTCCGAAAAAAAAGCTCACATCTCTAGTTTACCTTTTTCCATCACTCATTTGCTAAAACAAGGAAGCTCTCTTGATGGCTTTGCAGGAAGGAATTATTCTGTGCTCGGTCTTAGTCTTTTAGGATTTAATGGAAGGATGTGCATCAAACAGCAGGTACCACTATCGAAACCATCAAGTTTTCTTCAAATGGGAAATGCATATGAATGGGTAAATGGTTATTACGTGTCAGGGTTCTTGTATACGTACATGGATAAAGAAGAAACGCAAAAATTTTGATGGGCAGTTTATAATTCCAAAATTTTTCAGTTTATGAATTTGATGCTTCATTTTGTAGTTTGTTTTTTATCATTTTATTTTGCAGTTTTCATTATTTTTTTGCATCTCTAAATGCTTCATTTTTTTAGTTTTTATTTTTCAACATTATAATATTAAAATTTATCGGTTTATATAATTACGTTTATTTCTTAAAAGGTGAAAGATTGTATTCGTTTGATGTTTTTTCATTTTCTGAAATGATGCTTTTATTTCAAGTTTCTTTTTGCTTTTTATGCATGGAGATAATTAATGGGCTTCTTATTACACTTAAAAAAAAAAAACTGATGAGTAATGGGTTCTTATTTATTTGTTCTACTATTGTAGAAAAGTGAAAGAAGGATACAGTCTCAAAACAAATTGCACTTGGTATCTCACAACTAAGATTTCTTTAATATTAGTGTTCCATTAAGAAGAAATAGTGTGATTATTGGGTCTTGAAGTATCTAAATGTTTTTATCATGTTTAGAGCTTTTTTCAATTATTTGGAGTCAACCAACCAATAATTGATGTCTCAATTTTAGAGGGAGAAGGAAGGGGTCAGAGCAAGAGAACATAAAGATGAAAGGTCAAAGAGAGAGAGAATGGGAGAAATAACGAGGGGAAGGGGAAAACATGTTAGAGAAAAAAAATGGGTGGAGTAAACATAGGTAAAATACATCTTAGAGGTAAAGGGATCATTTGTCCGTCTAAAAAGTCCCACTTAAAAATGGGTGGCCAAATCAAATATTAGAATTCAAGAGGCCTAAATTCCTAAAAAAATCAAAGGTTGATTTTTCAAAAGCCTTTTTTTTATCTGTACTCCAAGTAAAAAGAGCAAGTTTTTTTTTTTTTTTTTTTTTTTCCGCCCAACGCACATTGTAATGGACCGGCATATATGTTAATGAACCAGTCCAACACAAATTGTGTCGGACTAGCTCCAGCCCTTACTAAAGTCAGTCACGCATATATTGTGTCGGGCCGACTTCATTTTCAAAATAAAGTCGAACCAGTACAATGTATGCGAAACCGATTTCAATAGGAACAAGCCACTCTGCCACACATTAGTGCCAGGCCAGCTTCAAAATTGACAAAAAATAATGTACTTAAGAGAGGGGTATTTTCATAAAAAAAAAGAAAAAAATTAGATTTTTTACTCTGAGGATGCAAAAAAAAAAAAACGTTTGGGATATGTGATGCGGTATCAAAAGTTTTAGAAGAGGTGGGGGTATCTATAATTGTGCCATAATACTAATGGTGGGGTCTAATTATTAGATTTTTTCTTTTTTAGAGAAAGGACTCTAATGCTTCTCTTACTGTATGGAAGATATATATTAAACCTCCCACCCCACTCTCATCTAGCTGTCCTATTTTGATGAAGTGAGCCACTGACCGTTACATCTAGGTCCAACGCTTCATAGTATTTTATTTTTCACTTTTTTTTACAAATTATACGAATATGAAATTTGGTATGTGCCATCATTTAAATGAGGAGCACCTAAAAAAATATTAAAAAGATATTTTTAATAAAATAAAATAACCAAAAGACCTTAAAACGTTTAAGGGTATTTAGGTCATTTTATTCTATTGAGAATTTTTTTATATATACTTTTTTATAGGTGCCAGTTTAATTAAGGAGTGGACGCCCAAAATTTAGAGTCAAAATATTTTGTATGAACAAAATTAAAAACAAAATAGATTTCAGGCGTATATTGTAATTAGGGTCATCTCAACCATCCATTCAAAAAAAATGGTTGGATAGAGGAAGTATATAAGTTTTATACATTAAAAGAAGTATAGAATGCTTGTTAGTTTTTGTATTTGAGTAACTGTTATTCGATGACCTACTAAATTTCCAATTTAGACCTGTATGTATTTCGTTCCCCTAATAACTCGAGCTTATAATTAATAAAATTCATGTCTTAATGTTAAAAAAAAAAAAAAAAAATTGCTAATTTAGAAGAGGACTCTTGTGGATCCAATTCTAGTGTGGAACGTGGCCCTTGTGTATCCCAATGCGATGTACCACTTGCAACTTTTTCTGTGTTAATTGTTGTGTAGTCCGCATGCATTTTTAATGCTTGAAAGACGACTGAGAGTTGCCAGGGATTGGGTGGTCAGGGTAGCCCTAATGTGACATTCATAGATGGGTGCAGTTTGCATTCGGATGCATCCATAGGTGTAGGGATAAGCTCCACTTTCAAATTTTATTATAGTATGTAATTTTGATGTAAAATATTGTTAGGGTTATCTCAAAATTTATTTTTATATTTAATTATAAAATTTTAAATTTTAAAAATAATTAAAAGCAAGTAGATCAATAAACATATGAAAATCTTGAAAATAAATGATGTAGAAAATATATTGTAACGTACACTATTTCTTAGACTTAAAAATCTTTTTATTTTTCATAGTCATACATCAAAGGGTTTTCAACATTTGAACTACTTTTTCCGATGGATTTTTAAGGGGCATATGTAGTTCAATCATTTGGGAGTAATTTCTACAATCCAAAGACTAATCTCAATAAAAATAAAAATTCAAAATAATATCTCTTTGGCTAAAAAAAACTAATGCATCAAGATTGAATAAAGAACTGTCTAATTTTTTAAAAGCTAGAACTAATTGTCACAAAATTCAAATTTCAATTTTTACTTTTAAAAGAATCATCTAGTAATTCTTATGTGGTTCTCAAAATTTTATACTGAAAATCTTCTGTTTTGAGCAAGGGAGTAAACGCACAATAATAGTTCTATAGAAACATAGTATACATATTCATCTTGAAAATGAGCAATTCAAATAAAAAGTTATAAGATGTAATATTTTTTAAGGCATTAAATCATTTTTATTTATAGGGATTATACACATTGAGACTATTTATTTTTGATATAAGGAGGTCATAATTACTACAACCATTCGATATGAAATCCGATTACCAGGGTGCGTAACAAAGTTCGAAAAAAAATTAAAAAAAATCTATAATTGCATCAATCTCATTCTACATATTAATTCCGACGGCCATGTACATAAATTGTTTCATCATATATTTCTTCTTATTTATATTCATACACCTCGAGGTGGAAATGACCAAAAGGGAAGATTTTCGTTGTGCCAAACAACCCTTCTTGGTAGATTTTTGAGGGTGCACCATGCTTCCATAGTATAAAATTTACTAAAAGTTTCGAGTGTAAAATTAACTCGTTATATAAAGTTGTTGAGCTCCAGCTGCAATGCATTCAGATACGTATTCTCTCTCTCCCCTCTCACATCAGCACGAAACTCTAGAGCCTCCATGTGTCATGTACGATGTACCATACCTCCCATTACTGCATATATGGTCAGCATTTAAGTTAAGCCAACAACCAAGGGTCCAGATTTTCTCCTTCATTTCACAATCCAAAGTCTTTCTTTATATCTACTCGTCCCCAACCCAACCAAACCAAAGAAAGTCTCTCCTCTGAATTTCATTAGGCATTATTAAACACACAATAGTCCCTTTTTCTGTGAAAAAATGGTGAATGCTTTGATGGGTTTGGGTGGTCTGCTCTTTCTTTTGGTGATTTTGAATGGGGTGGTTGTTAATGGAGAAAGGGTGAAGCTTTTTGTATTTGGGGACTCAACAGTGGATTGTGGCACCAACAATTACATAAATACCAGCATGGAAAACCAGGCAAATTACTTCCCTTATGGTGACAATGGCTTCTTTGGTCACCCAACTGGTCGATTCTCAGATGGTAGAGTGGCTCCAGACTTCATAGGTATCCAATCTTTTTATCCTTCATCTGATATACTTTTTTTAAAAAATATATATATATTATTTTAGTTTGGTCTATAATTTTTTTTGGGATAATTCAGTGAGAAATAGAGGCCCTAACCGTTTTTTTAAATGGTCAAGTTTTTGAAACTGTGGACTGGAATGCACGATGTAGATATAAGGAAAGACTTTGGATTGTAAATGGGTGGTAGATGCCGAAGGATTCTTTATATCTACTCATTAGCAGGCATGTTATAACAATCCTTCCGCATCTACCTCCCATCATAACATCGGATGGTTGAAGAACCTCTTCATATCCATGTATGATGCAAAAAATTTGTATAGTATCCGACGGCTATTCTTTTTTATGGGCTTTACTCCATGAAGTACATGAGAAGCATGTAGTTATGGAGGTCTCCATCATATATTTCTAAAGATGGAGTTTCTATTAAGGCCTAGACTCTATGAAATCAAATGAAGCCTCCTCTTAAATCCGGAAAGCACTTTTGGCCACCTAAATCTCTATAATGGCTTTAAACTCAATCTCTAATTTGGGACTCAAAAAAGCCTATAGGATCTTTGAAAAGTTATTTTTAGGGAAAAATGAACGGTCTAGATGGTTTATTAAGATATACACCATTTTTTAGAATTTAAAATCCTATTTTTTTTCACAACCATAATGTTTAAGTCAAGATAATCAATGTAAAGGTTTATCAATGTTTGAATTACAACTTTTGGTGAATCATTAGATGAGGCTTTACTTTTCTTTTTCTTTTCTTTTGAGCAAATAAAAAATTGTGTTAGATCCACCTCAAAGAGGTGGATAGCCTTAACCGCGAGTATTCGGTAACCGCTATCCACCTCAAGGCTGGCTTTTCCGGTCCCTATAAGGGGAGATGCCAACCATCTCTCCTTAAACGAACACGGGGCTTTACTTATTTTGATGGGGCTGCAGCCCTATCAATCCATTTTCCTATTTTTCACTTAAAGGTGACAAATGGATCAAGTGATCCACCATTTTCCACTTAAGGGGAGAAACGCCTCATCTCCACCATACTTCATCACGTAATATACTGTTTATGTACTATATGTAGTATGATATAAGTTCATTTATTTTATTTAAAATAAAATTTACCAAAATTCCTCTCGTTCTTCTGGTTCCTTACCCTAATAGGTGCAACTTCAGAATTGCCAAAAAAAAAAAAAAAGTTAGAGGAGGCACATTGATAAAATAAAATATAATAGGTTAACTTTGCAGTGATAAATGGGATCATTTGACCACTCTGATGATTTTGTAATTTATTTCCAAGTAATAAAGTGAATGCCTTAATAGAAAACAGGGATTTCTTTTGGGTTTTCAATTTTAACTAACAAATGGTTCATTCTTCAAATTCTCCATTGGCTCTAGGAAACTGCCTGAATATCACCAATTATCCTAGAAAGTTGAAAGAAAAATCAGTGTTGCATACCATTAGTCGGGGCAAATATTCGGCCCATGCCTGATCCGGGTACTCGGCCCGAGTCTGAGTAACTTGGTCCGAGTAGTGCCTAGTATTGTAGTAGCAAAAAAAAAAAAGGTCAAAAAATTATAAAAAATAAAAAATCCAAAACCTAGGAAATATATGTTTAAAGTAAGATTAAGCAAAACACTTCAAATTGTAGTTAAAAAAAGTAATAAAAAAACAGATTTTAAAAATTAACTTGAGAATGAGGGGTAATTGTTTAAAGGGTGTGGTTTGTATAGAGCCTAGGCTCTAAACAATCAAATTAGAGCCTACCTTCAAATAGTATCGAGAAATGTGGTTTCAATACTGGAAATCACTGTGATAGTCTTAAAATATATTTTCATATTTATTTATAAAGTTTAAATCTTTAAAAATAATGTAGATCAATAGATCCATGAAAACTTGAAAATCTTGAAAATTGACGATCAAAAAATACCTTATAAAATACACTATTTTCAAAACTTGAAATCCATTTTTTTCTCAGGTCCATGTATCTTGATGTCGAGATGATCAATTTGAGGTATTTAAGCATCAAAACAACCTCTTCTAGAAAAAATTTTGAGGTAGGCCCAAATTTGATTGGTTAGAGTCTCGGCTCTATATAAACTTTTCCCTTTTTAAATAATATACAAAAATATGAAAAATATTAAAATAAGTATTTATGGCTAAAACTCTTCCTAATCTTTGCCAAAATCATAGAAAACATAAAAATATGTCTCAATAATAAATTCCTTATTTGTAAAAAAAATTATGAATTTTTTAATATCCTCGAGTGGGACTCTAGCAAGCGACAAATATTTTCTTCTCATATTTGAAAAAATAAACTTTGCTCATATTTTCTTCTTTTCTTTTTTTTTTTTTTTCACGTAATATTTTCAGCTGAACTTGCAAATTTGCCTCTCATTCCACCATACTTACAAAAGAAGGTGGATCATTCAAATGGAGCCAACTTTGCATCCGGAGGAGCAGGAGTTCTCAAAGGGACAAATGAAGGACTGGTACCCTTTACTTATTTCGTTTTCTTCTTTTCAATATATATTCTTTCGAGTAAAGTAAAAACCCCATATAGATATCAAGATCGCTAAGCCTATCTATATATAAGTAGAGCTGTGCCGGCAAACCAATAGTCCAGAAGGTAGAAAAATATACTCATGTGGTTTGTGTTAGGCCGAGGCTCCAAACAATCAAAGTAAAGTGCATCTTCAAATAGTGTCGAAAAATGTGGTTTAAATGCTAGAAATCTTTGTTATAGCCTTGAATATATTTTTATATGTAATTATAAAAGTTAAAGCTTTAAAAATAGTGTACATCGAGCAGATCTATTAAAAATTAAAAATCTTGAAAATTGACGGTCTAAAAATGCATTACATGATACACTATTTCCAAAACTTGAAATCTATTTTTTTTCTCATGTCCATGCATCTTGGGGTCAAGATGATTAATTTGAGAATATTTGGGCATCAAAATAATCTTCCTAGTGAAATTTTTTAGTTGCACCCTAATTTGATTTATTAGAGCATCACACTTATGTAAACTCTTTCCTTTATAGAATTTACTTTTTGAGATTCATTTTACAAAGCTACCTCCTTAAAAGAATTGTTCCAACATTTCCAAATTCCACCTGCTCTAGGTTGGGGCTGAAGGTGTTTCAGTAATGAGCAAGCTTTCTATGCTTCCCCTACAACATAAAACTTACATACTTTCCCTTATCAAATCCTCTATTTTGAATAGAGGGCTAAGATTGTTTCAATCACAATGTCACGCCTCTACACTATTTTATTTTTTTAAAAAAATTATATATAATATTTTGACACCAAATTTTGGGCGTCTAATTCTCTACTAAACTCGCACTGGTAAAAAATATTAAAAACTATTCCCAACAAAATAAAATAACCAAAATATTTTGAAAGATTTAAGAGGTATTTTAGTTATTATATTTTATCAAAAATTTACTTTAAATATTTTTTTATAGGTAAGCCCCAATGAGAAGATGGCACCTACCAAATTTTATATTCATACTTTTTGTATAAAAAATTAAAAATAAAATACTTTGAAGCGTTGGATCTAGGATCAAACGTTGAATGGCTCATTTGATCAAAATTGGATAGCTAGATAGTAAAGAAACATAGATCTTCTATATCCTAAGGGAAGTAGAGAAACCTTTCGCTTCAATAATTGAGCCCATTGAAGTTGCTCAAGTTAAATTATAAATGTACCCCTCATTGTATAGGAATGAGAATACTAAATTATCAAATGATAAAAATATCCATGATTTCTTGTTGTTTACCCTGAATATCGAGGGATAATTTTCATTTGATTGTTTGATTTGCCAACACTAAATGACTAGGGGTACTCTTATAGTTTTGCTTGAGCTACTTAAGTAGGTTAAAATTACTTAAATGCCCATGATTGTTTAGAGTTCTCAAGTCTGAACAAAATAACTTGGGACTTTTTCATCCTGTTTTCAAAGGCACGTGCTTAATTTTGAATATGATCTTTGAGCCTTTAAAGATGTTGTACGATAGGTAAATCCCTTTAAAAATATTTTCCTCTTTTGTTTTTTAAAACTTTTTTTTTGGTGTATAGCGTCCTTTCACAAAAATTCCATTTTAACCCATAATTTTGTGGTTTATAAGTGTTTTCTCTCTTCTCGCTGGACATGTCAATCACATTTACCCTTTTACCCTTTACCCCAATAATTTCATGTAACCTAGCTTTTGGCACCCCTTATTAATTGCCATCAATTGAAAGCACGTGCTTGAAGCAAAAAGTAATTTTTTTTTTCTCAGAAAAACCATATGCCTTTAGAAATAGCAAAAACCATTAGGATGCCTTAAAAAAAGTTTTAACTCTTAATCTATTTTAAAAAATGGGTAGAGGTTAGCTTTCCCACTGAATTACCCAAAAAAAACATATGCCTTTAAAAATAACAAAAACCATTGGGATGCAAGCCCGAGAAATTGTGATAAAGAAGGGATAAAATGGTTATTATTGGCTTAAAATTGTAAAACTTGGAATCTAAACATCGACAACAGACTATAATATTACCATTTAAGAAAGGCTATTAGGATGCAAGCCTTTAGAAATTATTATAAACATCTACAATAGACTATATTACCCCACTTATACCTTAAAAAAGTTTAACTCCTAATCTATTTTAAAAAATAAGTAGAGGCCCCACTGAATTACCCAAAAAAAGCATATGCCTTTAGAAATAGCAAAAACCATTACGATGCGAGCCTTGAGAAATTGTTATAAAAAAGGGATAAAATGGTCATTATTGGATTAAAATTGTAAAAGTTGGGATCCAAACATCGACAATAGACTATATTACCATTTAGGAAAAACCATTAGGATGCAAGCCCCGAGAAATTATTATAAAGAAGGGATAAAATGGTTATTATTGGATTAAAATTGTAAAAAATAGAATCTAAACATCGACAACAATAGACTATATTACCATTTATTTTTAATTCAAGTATGTCACAATCATCTAGGGCCAATTCCAACCATTTAGATAAGGAAGGCAACGGGCTAGGAGTTGGTCTTGGCCTGGACTTTGTCCCCATATAACTGGCAGGCCGGGTCAAAAAAAAATAAAAAAGGGAAAAAAATAAAAAATAAAAAAAGTCAGGCCAAACCAATATTAGCCATCACTCAGCCCTCGGGTCACAATTTATGGTCTAGGCCCTACGTTTCTACGGCCGCCTAGCCCATTGCCAACCTTAACATTTAGAGTAAGTCACAAAGTTCCTAAAAAATATTTTGTTGACCTTTGAGCTCGAGGCACCCGGTGTCATATCTGTCCTCTTTATACCAAAAGTAAATGGCATTATTATGTACTTTTTCGAATCAATGTTAAAAAAATTAGGTTGTGGACCTGGAAACGCAAGTGGCACAATTCATGGATCTTGTAGAGAGATACAAGATAAAATTAGGGCACTTCGAAGCAAAACAAATGGTCTCAAATGCAGTTTATTACGTAAGCATAGGAAGCAACGACTATTTGGTGGGATACCTTCCAGATTCCGAAGCTCAACAGTTATATACTGGGGATGAATTCAGGGACTTCGTAATCGGCAATTTATCGGCACAAATCCAGGTAAGTCCTTTCCTATGCATTTCTATTTCTTACTTTTGTGAGAATTATAAAAAAAACTATTTCCCCATAAATTTATAGAAACATTAACTGAGTTATCGATTTTTTTGAAAATTTTTCAAAAAAACCACATTTTAGTATCAAAATTTAAAAATATTTTCTATATTTTATATTTTTTTCTTTAGACCTACCTTTTAAGAGTGCGTATAATATTTTAATTTTGCTTTTTATTATATATTGGATTAAGCTCAAGTTATAGGGTACGTGATGCAGATAAAAACAAAAACAGGTTGATTCAAAATCTTTTTTTATTTTTTGCCCCTAAAAAAAACACATAACATAATCCGGACTCTTAAAATAGATATAATTTCTAATAATTAACCCAAAAAAAAAAAAACAACAAGTTGATTCAAGATCTAATTTTTTTTTTTTATTTTTAATTTTTTGGTTGATTCTTAGGGATTATATCTATTTTAGGATTCAGGGTTATGTTATGTGTTTTTTAGGGGAAAATTAAAATAAAATAAAATTAGATTTTGAATCAACGTGTTTTTTATCTGCATCAGTATGGTACTTCTCATTGTCACTCATCTATACAAAATATAAAAAATAATTCAATAATATCTTATAAATTCAGGGGCATTTGGTTATTTTATTTCCTACAAGTTATTTTTTATATGTTTTTACAGGTATGTGATGACCAGAAGTATGGAGAGAGTGTGTGTGTGTGAGTGGGTGTGGGTGTGTATGTGTGTTTTTGCGCCTATTCTGAACTTTTAATGTTTTGCGCTAAATTAGTTAAGGGCGATTTGGTTCGCACTGTACTCATGCAGTGAACTTAAATATTTTCTTTTTCTTTTTCTTTTTTTTCCTTCGTTTTTTGAACGTTAAGTAAGCAGTGAACTTATTAGTTGACAAACTACTCATGGTAAATTATTAAATTCAGATATTTTACTTAAAAATGTTCATTGAAAAGGAATATGCACGATTTTTATTTTTTAAAGTAGGCAAAATCTAAGAGAAACATACACCTTTCTCTCAACATAGAGTAGAGATAAAGAGAGATATTATTTGGCCACATAATGCTTACAACTTACCTATTACTCAATTTTTTTCAACATAGAATTACATTTATGAGACCTTTTATCGTTTTTGTAACAGATATTATACAATTGTGGGGCAAGAAAATTCCTACTTTCATCAGTGGCTGATCTAGGATGTTTGCCTGGCATACGTGCACTAACTAATGGAACATGCCTAGAGTCTGCCACTTTTCTCAGTGTATCACACAATACAGCTCTTGAGAAACTCTTAACAAACCTAACCTCCATATTATTGGATTTTAAGTACATCGTCTTCGATCTCTTTGAGTTTCTGACAGTAAGGACTGAAAACCCGCAAAAATATGGTAAGTATTTTCGGTCGTATCTCTTTCTGGTTTTATGTTTATGTTGGGGGCCTATTTGTCTACTTCTCCTTATCCTTTAGTTTCATGTCACATATTCCACTTGAATTTATGTTCTGCCATATAACTGTTTTTTCAATATTCAAACCAGATATAAGTGGACAAATTATTTGATGGTCTGGGGAATATCTGTTGTTCTGATTTTTTTTATTCTCTTTTGTCATGATTTTCTGTTTAAACTCCTAGGGTTTTTACGCCCCAGTAATTGTAGAGAAAGCTTGATTTATCTATGGTGTTCATAACATTCACATACAGTCAATTTGGTCTTTGTTTTGCTCTCAAAAGTTTTAACGAAATGCTAAAATTGTAGAAATAGCCTTGACATTCTGTCCCCTAATTATAAACTCGCATTCCAAAGGAAAAAGTTTGCAACCTTAAAATTAACATATAGAAGTAAAGGTGCATCTCAAAAATCTATCATCAAAAGTTGTTTAGATGTTGGAAAATCCTCTAATTGATCATCTCGACATCAAGATGCATGAATATGAAAAGAAAAAAAGATTTTGAACCCGTGAAATAGTGTAGCTTGCAACACATTATCCAAATCATCTATTTTCAAGATTGTCATGTGTTTATAAATCTTCTTGATTTGAACTACTTTTAGAGTTTAAAATTTTATAAATCAGATATGAAAATAGATTATCAAGTCATCCTAAGAATTATTTACATCAAAATTACATTTATGATAAAATCTAGAGGTGCGCCTTACTTGGATTGTTTAAGGTTGCAACCTTATACAAAACACACCCAATTCTAAAACTATAAACTCTAATTCCAAAACAATTGTTTCATCTCTAATGCTCTTCTTACCAAGAAGGTTGTACTGAATTAAATATCTCCTCTTCTTTCTTTCTTTCTTTTTTCTTGTTTTTGTGTTTTTTTGTCCTTTTAACATTTAGGATGGGAAATGGGGTTGGAAGAAATTGCTTCATATCTATTATTACTCCTATTTGCATGTGTGCCTCCTATTCCTCTCGGACCCTTTGTAGGAATTTCTCTTCACCTTGGGCTTTCTTCTCAGAAAACCACTCTCAGCATATAAATAAAAACCAGATTAGCTAACACTCAATTTTCCAATGCAATAGGATTTATTGAGGCACTCGAAGCTTGTTGTGGAACCGGGCCCTTTCGAGGGCTTGACACATGCGGGGGCAAGAATGGTGTTGCCGAATACCATCTATGCCCCGATTCAGCCGTGCACATGTGGTTTGATGCTTACCATTGTACAGAGAGCGTACACAGGCAAGTTGGACAAACATTGTGGGAAGGCACGGACAATGTCGTAAAGCCTCTCCCTCTTAAGGTCTTCTTCGACGACGAGGCTCTACATGTGTATCTGGAACAGCCAGGAAAAGAGATGATAGCACAAACCATAGGATGCAGTTCCCAGTAAATTATGTGACTATGATATCCTCTGTAGTTTATATGAGGCCCTCTTGTTTTAAATTAGATTTTGAATATTCAGGACCATGGAAGTTGGTACAAAGGTACCGTTAAGCTTTTCATATATCTGTATTATATATTATCAAAAGAACACGGTTTTCGTGAGTCAGCAGACTCACCTATTACAGTGCAGTCCCTTGTCTATCTGATGTCCATCTCTAAGATGGAAGTCGGCCAACTCACCAAACACTTTTCCTTATCAAAATATGCGTTTTCTTGTATATGTTTGACTATATACTTGTATTTCAAAATATGCATAAAATATATGATATTTTTAACTGTTTGGTTGACAAAATAAAAAATCATTAATCCTTTTTTATTAGTCACGTATTGAGCACCATTGCTTGTGCTCTTTTTCCTATTAAATATGGACAATGCACATCAATATTAGATGTGAATGTCAATGAGTAATGGAAGCTCCAATAGTTTAGAGAGAGAGAGAGGAGATTCTATTCATGTATAAAATGATTCAATCAAGGATCGGTACCCTCATTTATTTCCTTTTATTTAATTTTTTTTAGCTTTTTATTATGGAAATGTGATCATTTATTTTTTATACAATGAGATCACAACTACCATTCACTTTTAGATGTGAAATCGGGTGGTTGGGAATGTTTTATTGACTAGACACAATATCTAAAATAAATTTTTTGGAATTTATTTACCCAAAAAAAAAAAATAGAATTTGTAACACACTTCAATCCTTTAAATATCACTTCTAACTTCTAATGGCTAAAATGGTTGTAACCTCTTTATACCAAAAATAAATAGTCTCAGTATACAATCCTGCTCCATTTTCCTAAGTGATTTCGCATTGCGAAGCATTTGGCATCCCCCTTTCATTATCGTCTTTTGAAGGCACGTAATTGGTAGCAAGGGTTTTGAATACTAATTTAATTTTAAGAATACACTTTGACCAAATTTTAGTTTGGTTGCATGGGAAGAGAGAAACAACAAGAGATACCACTCCTCAAAGAGAAAGAAAACTCCTCGATCTCGATACCCTTTTCTTTTTTTATCTTCTTTTTTTTGTGGGTAGTTCAGTGATAGGAAACGAATTTGATTTGTCGCACTGCTAAATATCAGTTGCTAACAACTGGAGTTCAAGCCTAATTCCTACTTAACCTAGATTAGAGAGAGAATATTATCAAGGTATGCATACGTTAGGGATGTTAAGAGGATTTGAATAACTGCCATGGTCACTATCTCCCTCAACATGTTGGGTTTTGTGTGAGTTGCTGCCGAACATGTTCGAGTTTGAGAAGTCCCAACACCTAATAAATACAGTATTTCATAGAGTATTGATGCCAAGACAAGGGAAGACTGAACCTCCGAGGCCACAGAGATTTAGGATTTGGTTATGTTGTTCAAACCCTGCAGCTTGTTATGAACAAGAAGGGCCATGAACGCATGATAGCGGATAGCAGACCTCAAGTCGACCTGAACAATGAACTTGGAGACATTGATGTGAACGCCCTCAATTCGTTGACTGTTTTGAGACTCGGCCGAGGCAACTCGTGTAACTATAGTTTTGATGTGCAACTTACTTCACTAATATAAGGTTGACATCTTGTACAAACTTCATCTATATCAAGGATAACATGATGCACATGTATAGGCGGCACATAACCGACATATGCCGGAGCATATGTCTGTTACTCGATGTGATGGACCTGCATAAGTTAACACTTATTTGTAGGCAGAATAATGATACGGATACAGAGTTTGGTCATTGACAAAAAAAAAAAAGGGGAGGGTTTGGGCAGGGTATATACCTCCCAAAGCGCCTCTTTAGGAAGATCTTCACAGTTATAAGGTCATTAAAATAGAAATCTATTTTTTTATTTTGAAGATTGCAATATACTTTGTGGATTCTTTTGGTGAAAGTTGTATATTGTGCTTTTGAAGAATTAAATTTTTATCTCATGAACCTTCTGTCTTTCAATGTTATGTACTTGTGAAGTACATTTAGACAATTAGGCCTTTACTATTGGGTGCAGTTTGTATAGAGCCTAGGCACTAAACAATCAAATTAGAGCCTACCTTCAAACAGTATCAAGAAATGTGCTTTCAATACTGAAAATTTTTGAGATAGCCTTAAAATATATTTTCATATTTATTTATTAAGTTTAAAGCTTCAAAAATAGCGTAAATTGGCAGATATATGAAAACTTGAATAAAGTATTCTAAAACTTGAAATCCATTTTTTTCTCATGTCTATGCGTCTTGATGTTGAGATGATCAATTTAAAAATATTTAATTATCAAAACAACCTCTTCTAATGAAATTTTGAAGTAGGCTCAAATTTGATTGTTTAGAGCCTCGGCTCGATATAAGCTTTTCCTTTTACTATTTGGCATTTTGGGTTTTGACTATATACTACAATCTACTTAATTGCTAGATGCTAAACTTTGTACAATAGATATTCTTATGTATTTTATTTAAGGAAAAAGTTTGTATAAGGTTGCAACCTTATACTGCTGAGGAAAGGTGCATCTCAAAAATGCTACAGTGGAGAGTGTTCCCACATAGAAGAACCTTCCAACTGATTATCTAGACCTTTAGATGAATGGACATGAAGAAAAAAAGAGAATTCCAAGTTCAAAAATTAGGATATCTAGTAAAAAGTCATTTGGACCCATCTGTTTTCAAGATTTTCAAGTGTTTATTAATTTGCTCCATCCGTACTATTTTTTAAATTTTAAATTTTTTAACTAAATTTAAAAAGAGATTTTGAAGCCATCATAAGATTTTTGATGTCAAAATGATATCTCTAAGTCAATTTTATAGGTGCACCTAACCTCTACGGTCTAAGGAAGCAACGTTATACAAACTTCACCCTTTATTTAATTCAATGAATGTGAGTCTACATTGGAATGTGCCCATATTGAGATGATATGACTCCTAAAATGTTTTATAACCATAGAAAGAGAAAAAACCAACACAAATGGGAACAAATTCACTCAGGATTGCATATAGTTGAACTATGGCATATATCAATAGGCAGGGAGAGGGAGGAGTTCCAAGAACTTTAAGTTTCCTGTTTCATTTACATTAAAATCGTATAAACAAGGTTGAGCACTGTTGATTTGGGTTGAAAGACTTGTTCACATAGAAGAACAGAAAGTAAACCTTAGAACCTATGAGAGCATATGTACCTTGAATATGAATGCTGGGATCTGGCTCTAGTTGCTCGTGGTCACATTGAATCCTTCAAGAGAGGGTTCCCAATCTCTTGAGCAACGAATAAGTTTAAGCAGCACCAGCGTTCTAAAACTCGGCCGAGATTACTTGAAAACGCCGCCGCGATTACTCGGCCTCGCCCAAAAAAAAAAAATAACCCTGGCTGTTACTTTTTGAAATCTGTACTATTTTTATTTGACTTAGAGTCCTCAAAAAATAAAAATAAATAAATAAATAGCCCCAAAAAAAGTCCGTACCATTTTTATTTCACTTAAGAGTCCTCAAAAATAGAGAGGACCAAATATAGACTGGGCGGCATAACCCACTTGCAAGAAGTTGTTTGACCGCAAAACTAGCCTACTAATTTTATATATCAGACTTTTATATTCATTTTTAAAAAAAAGTGAGCTGGATTGAGTAACTTGCCCCGAATAAATCACCTCGAATCGAGGCCTGAGTACTTTGACCAAGTCGATTTTTTAAATACTGAGCAGCACTATCCCCCTAAGAGGCCCATAAAATCTTCATAAAATCTTCGAAAGCCTCTCTAGCTTTTAGCAAACAGAATTTACTTATATAAATCATTTAATAAGAAAAAACCTTTACGCAAAATATCACTAGAAGAGGTTGCATTGTTGTTCAAATACCATCAAATTGATCATCTCGACATCAAGATTCATAAACATGAGAAAAAAAAATGGATTTCAAGTTTTGGAAATAGTGCATCTTGTAATGTATTTTTTTACTGTCAATTTTCAAGATTTTCAAGTTTTCATAGATATGCTCAATTATTACTATTTTTTAAGCTTGAAATTTTATAATTAGATATGAAAATATATTTTAAGGCTATCATAAAGATTTCCAGTGGTGGAACTACATTTCTTGACATTATTTGAAAGTGCACTTTACTTTGATTTTTTAGAGCCTCGGCTATATACAGACCGCACCCAAAAAAGAATGAAAAATTTAAAGCCCCCAAAATAGAGGAGGGTGGACCGATGTAGCTAGCCGCCTTTGGGAGAATAAAATGTTTTTGAAAATTTTACTAAAGGTTGTAGTTTCTATAAGGCTGCAACCTTAAACAATCGAATTAAGGCGCACCTGAAAATTTATTTTCATATCTAATTAAAAAAGTTTAAACTTAAAAGATGGTTAAAATCAAGTAGATCTATAAACATGCGAAAATCTTGAAAATGGACCATCTAGATAATATATTGCAAGATGCACTATTCTCGGGACTCATTTACTTTTTTATATAAATTCATACATCTCGATGTCGAGATGATCAATTAGAAGGTTTTTTAACATTAAAACAATATTTCCTATAGATTTTTTAAGTCCATCTATAATTCTACATTTCGAGGTTGCAACTTTATGTAAAAACCCTTTTTTTACGCATCTTTCTCCAACACTTTTAATACTCTATGAACCTGAATATTGTTTTCTTTTGTTATTATCCCTAAAATAAAAAAGGTGTTTCGTTTTAGACCAAAGTGCCCCCCTTTGACACATCTTTAATCACCTTTTTTTTTTTTTTAATGTGCTAGACGGAAAAATGAGTCTGGTCCGATACACAAAATGTGTCGGACCGATCCGGGACATTGATTTCACAGTGCTTGAGTGCCATACCAACACTTTGAAAATGTAATATAAAGGGGAGATAAGATAAATTTAGTACTTTTTTTTTACTAGGGGGAAGTGAGAGAAAAAGGTACTGAGGTTTTCGAGTGTTCTAAAATGTTGTGGGGAGGATGATGATATCTAGAAAGTTGAGTAAGGGGGATTTCAATGATTTTCGCAATGATTTCCCGAAAATTCATTAGTTAATGCTTTCAGCGATAAAATTAGGGGTCGATTGTGAGTTAGGTCAACCCATCAAGTGACCCGAGTCCGGGTTTGGAAGCAAATTTTAGACCCAATGGGTTGGATCCAGGTCCATATGAC